TCGTGCCTGGCTTGGGTTGTTCCCCCCATGGGGAATCTTACCCGTCTTTGGCTAACCGACCAAGCTTTTTGGGGGTTCAGCAGCCGAAACAGCATTCCTGCCAGGAAGATAAGCTTTTGTCTCCTTGCCGGCTCACGGTTCCAAGGGCGTTCCCTTAGCCTTAGCTAGGCGGGGGTTTCAGCTTCTAATACCAGTCAGGGCGGTTCCCAACACTTCTTCCTGGATATCAACAGCCTTGATTTCCCCAACTTCAACCTACCATTTGAGAAGACTTCATATACCTGTTCTATCCTACCTAAATGCATCAGGTTTTACAGGCAGAGCCCTCAAAATATACATAAGGTAAACTCCAGTGTGCTCGGGTCGTAAAGAATAGGTAATATTTTTTCTTCATTCCAAGCTTCCTTGTCCCAGCACCATTGCAGTGAACAGTTAAAGACTTGGTAACAACAAGGTTTCCTCACGTCTGCCAAGATTGGCAGCTAGTGCTGATTTTACAGAACTGCGCATTTCAGCCCCCCCCGCCCCCCCCACCAAAAATGCTTGTTGTTTCACTGGCACTTTGTATTTATAACATGGCAGAACGGTATGTATATGCCAGGTGTTAGTCTGGGAACAGAATCCACTTCATGGAATTATCTAGTCCATAAATTATACAGGCCTTATGGATATTCTATCATATAGCTGGGGCTCGTAAATAATTCCCCACAGGATTCCAGGTTTAATTTCCTAATATTGGATTTACTCTGGAAAGTAATTCTTAGGCTGTGTTTGTGCCTACTGGTAGATCTTGATGTCTTTGACATTGTGGGGTGTCTTACACATTTTTACCACTGTATTAACTTCATCAGGCTTCCTTAACAAAGCATCTTAGACTAAGTGGCTTAAACAACAGAAATTTTTTAACTCACTGCTTTGGAGGCTAGACGTCCAAGATCAAGGTGTTGGGCAGAGTTGGCTCTTTCTGAGGAATGTAAAGAAGACTCTGTTCTTTGCCTCTCCACTTGCTTCTGGTGGTTTGCTGGCAATCTTTGGTGTCACATGACTTGTAGAAGCATCACCTCGCTCCCCACCTTCACCTTCATGGGGCACTGTCCCTGTGTGCCAGTCAGTCTCCAAATCTCCCCTTTCTGGAAGGACATCAGTCACACTGGGTTAGGGTCTACCCTAATGACCTTAGTTTATAACAACTGCAACGAACCTATGTCCAAATGAGTCACATACTAATATACTGGTGTTAAGATGTTAATATATGAAGTTTGCAGGAGATACAATTTAATCCGCCACAACTACCAATCTCATGATAACTCCAGACTTCATTTCTGCCATGTTGGTGTCAGGGTTAGTCATGAAATTGCTTTGGCCAATAAAATGTGAGTAGAAGTAATGTGTGTACCTCTGAGCAGAATGTGAGAATTTTATTCCCTCTGCTATCAAACTGGCAGTACTGCAGATAGAGGCTATTTCATCAGCCTGTGTCTCAGAGTGACAGTGACATGACACAGAGCAGCAGCTGACCTTCGTGTACATGTACATGAAAAAGAAATAAATCTTTATGGTCTTAAGCCACCACAACCTTGGGGTCCTTTGTTACTGAAGCATAAATTAGCTTAAACTGACACTCTAAGAACCTAACTAAAGCTAAGGAACACCATAAGCTCACTCCTAATGTATGGGTTTTTCATTCATTTATTAGGTACTTGTTAAAAATGCTATGTGGCAGGCATAGTACTGTGATGGCACTGTAACAGTTAATTTTATGTGTCAAATTAGCTAGGCCACAGCACCCAGAGATTTGTTCAAACACCAGTTATATGTCTCTGTGAAGGTATTTTTCAGAGGAAATTAACATTTAAATCAGCAGACTTTAAGTAAAGCAGATTACCTTCCATAATGTGGTGGGCCTGATCCAATCAGTTGAAGGCCTTAAGACACAAAACACTGAGGTCTGCTCCTCCACCCCCCAGGAAGAAGGAATTCCATCTGCAGTTACCCTTCAGACTCAAGCTGCAGCCTCAACTCCTCCATGGGTCCCCAACCTGCAAGACTGTTCGGCAGACTTAGAACTTGCCAATCCCCACAAATTGCATAAACCAATTTCTTAGTATTGGTTTTCTAGAGACACAGAACCCATAGGGTGGTCCAGAAGGTATCCAGCCATGTAATATGAAAAATAGATATTTATTGAAGGAGATACGAGATACAAGAAACATTGTATGTAGGACAGTAATGTCTCAGTCCCCTTCGAAGTAGGCACTTTGGAACCTCACACAGTTCTCCCATGTGCCATCAGCTGCCCTTTGTATTTTCCTGAATCTCATCAACGGTCTGAAATCTCTTCACTTTCAAAAGTGATTTTAGTTTTGGGAAAATCCAGAATTTGCAGGATGCCAAATCTTGGCTGTGGGGGGGGCTGAGTCACCTGGGTGATTTGATGTTTTGCCACAAAACTGCACAAGACGTGATGCATGTGTGTGCATGTTGTTGTGATGAAGCTGCCAGTCACCAGTTGCCCACAGCTGTGGCCTTCTGCAATCATCCAAATAGTTTCCACAGAAGAATGTTCAAGCTTAATGCTAAATTTGATGCAGACTCATTGCTCTACTCACTCAGTCATTTTGAATGTGATAGCCACACAGTACACATGCTCACTCAACAGCAAATACCACTCCCATTGAGTAGTACAGTGAAGTTGTCATTGTTCACACATGCACATTCCAGTCCACTCTCCTTGGCTGCCAGGTTACATCGATGTTGCACAAACTGTTCTCGTTATATTATCAGTGGTTGAACTTTTTCCAGACAGACCTGTTGATTCTGTTTCTCTAGAGAAACCTGATTAATACATACCCCCATCAGTGAACAATCTAGCAATAGTTCTCATAGATCTTACAGTCTAAAGAAGGATACAGACAAGCAGAAAAGTTACAGTGTTATGTAGTAGATCCTGGGAAGTACTCCATTTAATAGTAGGAGTGCCTAACCTTGACTTGGGGTGTCAGAGAAGGCTTTCTTGAGGAAAGAAGTCTAATTTGGGAACTGAAGGTGGCAGGTGGAATAGGAGTTATTGGCTAAGTACAGGGATGGGGTAGTGGGGGCCAGGGATTAGACTGAGTATAGAGCATGTATTCTCCACAGGGATATTATTGCTCCAAAGGGGGAGAAAATTGGTGCCCAACAGGTGAAATAAACCTTAGCTATTACAATGTTGTGACCATGCAGAGTTCAACTCTATGTGACAAAATTGTATTCCTTAATACTCAGTGAGGAAGTAGGGGAGATGGTTAGAACAAACATCTAAATTGTCTCCTTGGGTGGGGGGGGGGCACTGATGAAAAAGATGTGGAGAAACATTGGCATGGAAAGACCAGTTTGGGCAGATGAGTGATCACATGTGGAGCTATGGAAGTGAGAGAGAACAGGGAATATTTGAATTATGGCAATAGTTGAGGCACAGAGTCAGGAAGGAGTGGACGTAGGGAGAGTAGCTAGAGGAGGCTGTTCTCGCCACACATTCTAAAGAAAATTAACTCTGAGAAGGCGTTTGCCCTCAATTATCTAAATAGTTGAATTAAAATTAGACTTTATGTCAAAATTATCTGCTGCAGACAGTGCTTACTTTTTTAATATATGAATCTGTACTTTGTGTTTATAGTCATGTACTGAGTGAATCATTAAGTTTTAAACATTTTTTAGAGATGGCAAAGGACAGTTGTTAAACTGTCTTTTTCTATCTATCATTCTGGGACATTTTAGTTTTATAATTATAGTCTCTAGAATAGCATCATGTTCCAGTGGGTACTTAATCATAATGCTGTTCTGGAAGGCACATTAACCTCTGGAGAATTTGCATGTGACTTACCTCACTGGAGCTTCAAAGATTAAAAACATGAGAGTAAAAAGGTATTTTTCTTGGCTTCATTATTGGGAATAGAATGAGAACAATGATCTATTTAATAACCATTATCATTATCTTCCCCACAAATTGAATTAAAATTACTTTAATATTCTATTAGGGTAATCTTTACAAATACACTGCCAATCATATTTTTTATTTCCAGCAGCTTGTTAACATGAACTCAAAGCTAATTCAATCCTTTTGTGAGATAATATGAACTTAATTCTAGAATCTAAAAATCTAAAAAATTGTATGCTGTACTATAATTTTGACCTTGAGTGTTTTTCTTTGATGTTCCCTAGCCTGCTTAACGTTAAGTAGAACTTATCTAATGTCAGATACAATTTTTTAAGAAGCAGTATTCTAATAAATATTTTTACAAGGTCTTGTTATGAATAGTCCTGAGTATGTGTTCTCGAATCAGACTGCCTGGGTTCAAATCCTGAGCTGTATCCAGTTGGGTTTAAATGTAACTAGCTTTTCTAAATTTGGGCAGATGTGTAAAGTTATGTGATCTTTTCTTCTCTGTACCTCATTTTCTCATATGTGGAGTTGCAAATACTATGTGAGTTAATTATGTAAAAACACATAGAACTGTGCCTGGTACATGCCTAGTACTCAATTATATTAGCTATTATTATTGTTACTATTACTGTCATTATTTGAAACCCCTTATTAAGTGTTTTTAAAAGCATTTGTTGAGTGCTTCCTGTATTCCATAGGAGAAACTGTTAGTAAATCTTACATAAAATGACATTCAGACTCAAAATATTTTTTAAAACTTTTTAATGATTATTATTCTCTTTGGTACATTTCAGGTCTTTAAATTGATTTATTTTTTTTTAAAACGAGGATGATATTTTTGGTTCTTATGTGAGAAGATAAACATCTAAAATTTATAAGAAAAAAGCATTCCTTGGCACAGTAGGTAGGAGATGAATTCCTCTTCAGAATTTTTTTTATTGAAGCCTAGCATCTACATTTATGGTGCTGTTTTTTTTTCCAGGTCAACAATAGGGTGAAGAGTTACCCATGATTTTCTGGCATTTTTGAACTTTGATTAAAGAAATTTAAACACTCTTTTAATATTTATACCTTTCAGAGAATGTCTTTGAAATTTAAAAATGCGAAACGAATTGAAGGCCTTGACAGTAACGTGTGGTGAGTACTTGAGAACCAGCAGTAGTCATGTGGCGAGTTTTTGTCCTGCACATTGTTCTATCCAGACTGGGGAATTTTTAGCCTTGTCTGTGGTCTATCAACAAATCACCTTATTTTAATTCATTCATTAAGTGGAAATGGAAGGAAGTTAATGATCCATCCTCTGATTTGTTCATTAAGCAAATGTGCCGAGCCCTGTGCTAGTCACGGGAAATAGGCAGAGGAAAGACAAGTTTGGCTGATGCCGTCATGGAACTTAGCTTCGAATCTCTTGCTATTAGCTCCCGTCCCTAACAGTCCATTAGAGAACATACCAGGGCTGGTGTGACTGAGAAAAAAATCTATGATTAAAATTTGGGTGTCACAGAATTGAGATTTGTACGAAGCATTATTTGTTCATCTCTCATTTCATTAAGTGAGGTCATTTTGTAGATGGTAAAATTTTGTTGATAACTCATGTTTTTTTAATCTGTTGGACTACAGCAGGCCTTATTTTGCAGCTTTATAATTAAATTATGAAGTATAAAAAGGTAGTGTTGTAATTATAGTGCCTATTAATATTAGTATTTTTTTATCTTAGGATTGAATTTACCAAGTTGGCCGCAGAGCCCTCTGTTGTGAATCTTGGCCAAGGCCTTCCAGATATCTCCCCGCCTGAGTATGTGAAGGAAGAATTATCAAAGGTTGCAGCTATGGATAGCCTGAATCAGTATACACGGGGCTTTGTAAGTACAGGAGGGCCGTGTGGGGCATGAGCTTGTACTTGATGTTGTATTATGTGTGAACATACTTCTATCACCTTTGTGCAATTGGCTTTCTGGGACCAATCTGATAACCAAGGAACATTACCTGTTCCCTTGGCCCCTAGGATGAGCCGCCATCCTCCACTTCTAGCCCCTGCACAGTCCTATTTTGGCCCTTCCTTTATACTGTTGTTGGAGAATGGCAGCGGGGGAGGGAGATGTCTTCCTGAGACACAGGTTTCTTTCCCACTAACACTTGTGCAGCTTTATCACTGCCTCTTAGTTATCCTTTATTTCCAACTAGTTACTTTCTTCTACTCTACCTCAGCCCAACTCCCATTCTTCTGTGATTAAATGTTCAGGATATCCACAGATTTCCTAGATTCTTAAAAAAAAATTACTAAGTGAATTGAGCAAGGTTGTAGGATACAAGGCCAATATACAATAATCCAAAAATCAATTGTATTTCTTTTTTTTTAAGATTTTATTTATTTATTTTTAGAGGGGAAGGGAGGGAGAAAGAGAGGGAGAGAAACATCAATGTGTGGTTGCCTCTCACACGCCCCCTACTGGGGACCTGGCCCACAACCCAGGCATGTGCCTTGACTGGGAACTGGACCAGTGACCCCCTTGCTTCACAGGCCAGCACTCAGTCCACTGAGCCACACCAGCCAGGGCTCAATTGTATTTCTATATACTAAAAATAAATGGTTAAACTATAAAAATTTTTTAAATACCATTTGCAATAACATCCAAAACCATGAAGTATTTGGAATTGAACTTTTAAAATAAATGTAAAATCTGTGCACTGAAAATTGCAATACATTCCTGAAAGAAATTAAATAATACCTAAATAAATAGAGTGATGTATGATGTTCATGGGATAAAAGACTAAATATTGTTAAAATGACAATTCTCCCTCATTGATTCATAGCAGAGTTTGTCAATTGATGGCTTGTGGCTAAATCTGATGCACTCCTGATTTTTTTTAAATAAAGTTTTATTAGAACATAACTGCCCATTCATTTGCATGTTTTCCAGTTTTTGTAAATATATGACTGTATGCGTATGAGGAGGGACCCCCTAAAAAACCATAATTATCTTCTGGAGGCTGGGCCCCTTGTAGTATAGGCTTCCCCCACTAGGTGAGTGTGCTAGAAACCCACCAGCGTAGCAGCTGCTGTTGTGAGAGGCTGCATTCAGCTTCAGTGAATTTTTTTTGAGACTTAACTTATTTGCCTGTTTCGTGATGGGTGATTATTTTTTAGCACATCTGCCCACACTGTGCTGAGTGTTCGGCAGTGTTTGACCAAAAATGGCATGACCCCTCTACCCCACCTTCCCTATTCACCAGATGTTGCCCCGAGCAACTTTTTTTTGTTTCCCTGGATGAAAGAAGTCCTCCAAGGGAAAGGTTTTGCTGATGTGGAAGAGGTAAAACAAAAAATAGCAGAAGCACGAGAAGACATCAAAATTGAAGAGCTCAGTAATTATTTTCAGGAGTGGGGAAAAAGCCTTTTTTTAATATATTTTATTGATTATGCTATTACAGTTGTCCCCTTTCCCTCCTTCACTCCCCTCCACCCTGTATACCCTCTCCCACCCACTTTCCCCCACCTTTAGTTCATGTCCATGTGTCATGCTTATAAGTTCTTCAGCTTCTACATTTCCTGTACTATTCTTGCCCTCCCCCTGTCTATTTCCTACCTACAATCTATTCTACTTATTCCCTGTACCTTTTCCCCCTCTCTTCTCCCACTCCCCTGTTGCTAACCCTCCATGTGATCTCCATTTCTGTGGTTCTGTTCCTGTTCTAGTTGTTTGCTTAGTTTCTTTTGGTTTTGCTTTAGGTGTGGTTGTTAATAATTGTTAATTGTGAGTTTGCTGTCCTTTTACTATACATGTTTTTTTTTTAATCTTCTTTTCTTAGATAAGTCCCTTTAACATTTCATAAAATAAGGGCTTGGTGATGATGAACTCCTTTAACTTGACTTATCTGAGAAGCACTTTATCTGCCCTTCCATTCTAAATGAAAGCTTTGCTGGATAGAGTAATCTGGGATATAGATCCTTGTCTTTCATGACTTGGAATACTTCTTTCCAGCCCCTTCTTGCCTGTAAGGTCTCTTTTGAGAAATCAGCTGACAGTCTGATGGGAACTCCTTTGTAGGTTACTTTCTCCTTATCTCTTGCTGCTTCTAGGATTCTCTCCTTCATTTTTACCTTGGCTAATGTAATTATGATGTACCTTGGTGTGTTTCTTCTTGGGTCCAGCTTCTTTGGGGCTCTCTGAACTTCCTGGACTTCCTGGAAGTCTATTTTCTTTGCCAGAATGGGGAAGTTCTCCTTTATTATTTGTTCAAGTACGTTTCAATCTGTTGCTCTATCTCTTCCCCTTCTGGTACCCCTGTAATTTGGATGTTGGAACACTTAAAGATATCCTGGAGGTTCCTAAGCTTCTCCTCATTTTTTAAATTCTTATTTCTCCATTCTTTCCTGTTTGGTGGTTTCTTTCTTCCTTCTGGTCCACTCTATTGTTTTGAGTCCCAGTTTCCTTCCCTTCACTATTGGTTCTCTGTGCATTTTCCTTCATTTCTTTTATGGTAACCTGCATTTGTTCATCTAATTTGTGACCAAAATCAACCAATTCTGTGAGCTTCCTGATTACCAGTGTTTTGAACTGTGCATCTGATAGGTTAACTATCTCTTAGTCACTCAAAAGGATGAGTTCTGGGGCACTGATTTGTTCTTCTGTTTGAGCCCTTTTTTGGGGGAGAGGGGGTTCTGGTCGCTCCTGCTGTAGTGAGGGGCGGAGCCTTAGGTGTTCACCAGGGCTGGGCACCCCAGTCGCTAGATTGTGACGTTGTATGTGAGGGTGGGGGTGGGAGGGAACAATGGCGGTAGCTCTGTTCAGTCCCTTCCCCGATATCCTTGGTTGCATACTCTGCCCTGCTCCACACTCGCCGCCTCACTGGGTCCGCCAGCTGCTGCTTGCATACTCAGGGTCCGCCTGCTGCGATCTTGTGCTCCCCAGATGCCTTATGTGCTCCCGGTTGCCTTCTGCACCCAATTCTGCCTGTACTCCGCCCAGCAACCCACACCTGGCTGCTTGTCTCTGCCCCTCCTACTGGTCTGGATAAACGGGTCTATTTCAAGTTCTTGGCTGTCCGACTTCCATTCAGATTAATTTTCTATCAGTTCTGTGTGTTATTCTGCCTCTAAATTGTTGTTGTTTCAATCTTGGTTGTGTGTGGAGGTACGGTGTGTCCACCTATGCCTCCATCTTGCCGGAAGTCCCGGAAAAAGTCTTGATAGGTGTATTGCATCAAATGGAAAGTAGTTTGAACGTGACTGAAATTTAAACATGTAACAATACATACACAATTTTTTATAAATAAATTCCCTTTTTTGGGAAGTCCCCCCTCATATATTGGTATAAGCACTGGCAATGGTATTTAACTAATACCAGGATGAGGACATTACACCTCAGGGACAGGGAAGGAAGTGAGGTTGAGGAGAAATCATAATTTTTCTACATGTCTTTGCCTAGTGTAATTACTATATAAAGCATGAATTAGTTTTGTAATTAAGAATATTTCCAATCACAGACCCTTATCATTCTGAGAAAAGATGGTTAGTGTTTATTATAATTGCCTTCAAGTCTCCCTTTGCTAGAATTTGTTAGGCCTGGTATTAAAAGGAAACTTTGGATTTCTGGGAATGGAGACAAACTTCTGTTGCTCTTTCCATAATTTCTGTGTATTTTTAGAGCTTGAATTTATGTGGTCTTTTTCTCTCGCTATTGTTTTTCAGTTTATTGCCTATGTTCTATTACCGCTTCTATTATTAATTATTCCCAGGTTCTCTAATATTATGATATCTTCTAATTTCAAAATATGAAAAAAATGTACTATAGCTTTATGTTTATTTTTAACTCAGTGAAGGTCTGGCACATACTAGCCAATAATTTCAAAGGAATAAAAAGGTGACAAATAAATGCATCTTTGACCCCAGAAATGCCTGGTTTTCTTCATTTGAACTGGGGTGGACAACATACAAGGAACCTCAGGCCCTTTTACCTCACAAACCCGGGGTGTATCCAACTAGCCTCCCTCTTCCAAACAACGTTTGTTCCTCCAGAGCACAGGAACTTTCCACACAAAAGCGTATTACCTGCATTTGGACGCTTATTGACATGTGACTGAAAATTAGGGTGGTTCCCCAAAAGCAAAACAGGAAAGTAAATGCTGGATAGAAAAAAATAAATATTGACTTTAATACCTAAAATCACAAGGAGGGGAAAAGAGAGGGAAAAGAAAGAGAAGGAGAGAAGGGAACAGAAGAAAACAGAAGAGAAGACTGAGGAAGAGCTAATCAAGAAGTCAGGCCTCCCCACACCTCAGACTTCGTGCATACACAGTCCCCTCGGTCCCCGTGTTCAAGTGTTCTCCTGGGTGACTACTGCTCTCTGGGCTGTCAATAGGAATAGTGTTCCACTTCTCCCTTGCATCTGCTGTTAGCACATCGACACTAATGTGCATTGCTCTGGTGAATTTGCTTTGTCCTTCTTAGTCCATGGGTTTGAATAACCCTCTCTCCTGCAACCTGGAACAACAGAATCAAGTGATACATAGTTAATACAGGTTTTTGGCTCAGTTTATCTGGGAAAAATATCTAACTCCATTCAATATGACTTAATTACTGTCAAAAAGTCAATGTGCTCTGATTACTATCAAAATTACTATCTATACTGCCAAATATATTTGATGTTGAAGTCAATTTTTTTCAAAACAAATAATTTGATATTTAGTATTCTAAAATCAGTCACGTCATAGGAAGTTTTCAGTCATTGACAAGTCTTCATAGTCATTCATATGGGAACCTTTGAATGTAGGAAAAAAATTTTAATTAACTGCCAATTAAAAGTATCTTCTTTGGGTATTCATAAAACCTGTATTTTAAAAATTCTTGCACATTTAGAACTAAATTATTTTAAAGAATTAGGTTCCATAACTCACTGTTTTATTCAACAGGGTCATCCATCACTTGTGAAAGCTCTGTCTTGCTTGTATGAAAAGTTTTATGAAAATCAGATCGATCCATATAAAGAAATCCTCTTGACAGTAGGAGCCTATGGGTCTCTTTCCAATGCCGTTCAAGGGTTAAGCGATGAGGGGGATGAAGTAAGTGTGTTAACATGATCATTTGCCTGTTTTCATCATTATCATTTGTCCTGCCTTTGAATCTTTTACTTATTTTATGCTCTCTTATTTTTAATTATTTTTGAAGTATAGTGCATATGCATCAAAGTTCACAAATCTTAAATGTACAATAAATGTTTACATGTGTGTGAGTTTATTCCCATGTGACCACAAACGAGATGAAGATACACATTTCCTCGCCCCTTTGCCCTTTCTTTGTCTATATTCCCCCAGAGGTACTCACTCTTCTGTCTGCTATCACCTGCTCTTTAACTTGATATAACAGAGTCATAGGGTGTGTATTCCTGAATCTGGATTTTATGTTGTCTGTGAGATTCATCCATCTTGTTGTACATACTTTATTTTTTATTTCTACAGCTTATTTAGATAAGAGCAGGTGGAAGGGGCCAGCAATGATGAGGAAAATTAATCTTAGTTTTCACTGCTAAAACCACCTTTAATCTGAACTCAATCAACAAGTATTTGGTTACTGTCCTTTTGAGCCAAGTATCATTAGCAGGATAGTGTGAGGAATGTATAATAGGAAGGGTGAGTACTTTCTGCTGTTTAGTCTCGCGATGTAAGATCCTCTTTGGCACGAAGCTCAGTCAGCTCTGCCCCTACTTTTCCATTATCATTCCAATCCCCTGGCTTCAGGATTTTCTGACCTCTTTCACTTATTCAAAAAGTATTAAGGATCTCCTCTATGCTAGGCACTATGGGAAAGGAGATTTTTAAAAGGCAGTTTATACGCGGAAGGAACTCTGTGTCAAGTAAAGGAGACAGACCTATAAACAGATTAAGAGGAATGCAGCATGATTGTCAGTAGCGGTGCACTGAGTTGTAGTGGTGACAAAGGGAAGCGATCAGCTCTGCCACGTAGATCTGCCAGGCTCCAGAGAGGCGTTGCTTAAGCCGGGCCTGAAGGATGAATGCTCACCATGATCTATATTGTTAATTCCTGTCTTTGAATTCTCATAGCACTTTATCTGTACTTTTTTCATTAAAAAAAAATCACTATTACTTTGAGTTATATTGTTTTATATCTCATTGCCTGTATTATGCTAGACAATAAGCTAAAGAGAACATGTTAAGAAAGTACAGTCATAATTTTATATAAAAAATATCCTTTACTCCTATAAAAGAGTTGAAATTTCACCTCAGACCTTGACATCATTAATCCTTTGTTGCTTCTGCTTCTCTGTGCCCTGTTGGAGTGCCGAGGCTCAGACCTCTGCCTCCTTTTCTCTAACCCTTTCTTCCCCTATCACTTTATCTAATATTTTGAAACCACACACAAAGTTACCCTCTAGCATGTTGACCTGTTTTACTGTCTTTATAACATTGAATACTATCTGAAATTATTCAATTTACTTCCTCATTTTCTTGAGTATTATAAGTCTCTCTCAGTAGAATGTGAGTTCCAGAACTGGTTTGTTGCTGTACTGCCAGCACCTAAAATAGTGAGTGTTCAGGAACTATTCTTCACAAAGGGAGGGGATTACTTCCATTGTAACAATGAAGAAATTATAGGGAAGTGTGTAAGTACCTTTTCTCAGTTCTACCTCAGTTCTGCCTCCCAATGTAGTTTCCTTTCCTTTGAGCTCTCCTTCCATATCAGGCACTCTGTTTCTCACCAGGGTTGCAAAGATAGGTCATCTTAGTTTCTGAGAATTTTGCAGACTAATTAAAAACTTGCAGTCCACTGGAGGGAAAGATCATTTCCTGGTTCATCTTTGTCTTCCACAATACACCACCTCAACATGGCACATGAGATAGTAGGTGTGCAATGAAAGCAGAATGACTAGGACAAGCAAAGGGGCGTAAGAATGAAGGGCCTCTTTTGATGCCAAAGAAAAAGAACTTGGACAGGTATTTCACATCATAGGAAATAGAAACAGTAAAAACTGCAAATTCAGAACAATAATTAGGGACCATTAATTTAACCAACATAAAGTTTAGTAAGACATCTTTGTGTTGACCTGTGAAATTATAAATAGTTGTTGCCAGATTTTTCAAAAGCAGTTTGGCTGTATATAGGAAGTGCCATAAGGGTGTTTATACCCTTTAATCTAGCAAAACAATCATCTGAATTTATTCAGCAAACTATTTTAAAAAAGAGAAACTATACTTACAAATAGACATAGCATTGTTATTTATACAAGCAAATGATAAAATTCTAGAATTCAATAGGCTCTCAAATTGCCATTAAAATAATAAATACTAAAACTAATAATATAAAATCCTTGTGAAATATTGCTGGGTTTAAAAAAAGAAAGAAAAGTTGAATGTATATAATGGTTATAAAGTGTGTATTCAAGCTCTCCTTATAGAAAAGCAAAAAGTCAGGATGCTAGATCCAGGCTGGCAGATTGTCGGAGAGATGCTGGCTGGCCTGGTGGGATTGGCTCACTGGCCTGAAAGCCACCCATGAGTGATTGGGAGAGAGGTCATGCAGGGCCAAAGGGACCAGGAGTGCATTCCAGGGACTAGGAAAGAGACAGAATCCAGATATAAGTCATGGGAAGATATGGTACCTAGATCATAACGATGTTATCCTAACCAGTCCCCCTGCATCCACCGTTTCGGGATGCTTTTGAGAAAAGAGAAGCATCTTTAATTTCAAGAAGATACTTATAAATTAGGACTCCACAACAGAGAGCATTGCAGTGTTCTCTTTATCACCTGGTTTCTGTCACCCTCTGGTATTTTCTTTTCTTTTTTTTCCTTTTTTTTAAAAGATTTTTTATTTATTTATTTTTAGAAAGGGAAGGGAGGGAGATAGAGATAGAGAGAGAGAGAGAGAGAAACATCAATGTGCAGTTGCTGGGGGTCATGGCCTGCAACCCAGGCATGTACCCTGACTGGGAATCGAACCTGCGACACTTTGGTTCGCAGCCCACGCTCAATCCACTGAGCTATGCCAGCCAGGGCTTGGTATTTTATTTTCTAACTTGAAAGTTAAATAAACTCCATGTTTTTGGCTGGAACATCCCTTTGAGAATATGATGAGAGCTGTGGCCCTTTCCCCCTAAAAAATCTACCTATGCACATAAAAAGCTTTGCATACAATTCCAAGGGTCCCTTCTGCAAGCCTATCTATAAATCTCCCTAAGAGATCAATGACTCCAATTAAGGCTCCAGATAAGTTTATCCCCAGGGTGTCTTCCACTCCACGTTAGATTCCCTGAAGGCCAAGCCTGCTTTTTTCACTCTGCACCTTGGCGTGTAGTAGTGCCTCATGCACAGTAGTTACACAGTCTTGTTAAATGAATCAATGATGGATATGTTGTGTTCTCATTTGGTTTTATTTCAGGTCATAGTGATAGTACCTTTCTATGACTGCTATGAGCCCATGGTGAGAATGGCCGGAGGAACAACTGTTTTTATTTCTTTAAGATCTGTAAGTTCGTCAGTACCATTCACATGCTTTAAGAAATTTTGAAAATACCAATTACTTTGTTGCCAATAACATTTCTACTTTAATTACATTTTGGTATGTAATATATTATCTCTACTTTGACAGAAGTTAGTCAATGACTATGTTAAGAGGGGCACATTTATTGCTTTATCACATGTTTGCCATGTGTGTCTGTTACATTAGCATCCACATGCATGTAGCACTGTCTTTCGTGTTTATGTGTCTCCCCCACTGACTCAGCACCACCAGGTAGAGCCCACTTCGGACTCATGTTTATAGCACTGCTCCCCAGTGCAGAGGGATGCTGGGTGCTCAGTAAATGCTTGTTGAGTTCTGAACAAAGTGACTTTTTCTTGTTCTACTGTTACCTTTAGCAATGTAATAAAGTATAGTACCATTGTCTTTTTTAAAAATCATATTAAAATAAGTAATACACTAAGGTGACTCCTAGAATTTCCTACTAGTCTTATAGTATGAGACATGTTAACCATGGTTATAGCTGTCCCCTTTGAAAGAATATAGGCACCTTAACAACTATTAGTATTGACAAAGTTCATTTTTCTGTTTAATAGGTGTGAGCATGAGATTCAAGTCCTCTTGGGCTCTTAAGGCTTAGTTATTTTTGTTTATTTTTTTGTTAGTCATTTATTCAGTTATACTTGCCACACTTTTCTCTAATTTTTTATTTATTAAGTTGTTTATTCATAAAACAGCAAACATGATTTAATTTAATTAAATCACATCTTCATTCTTCATTCTTAGAAACGTATTGATGGGAAAAAAGTGGTCCAGTTCTGACTGGACATTGGATCCTGAAGAACTGGCCAGTAAATTTAATTCCAAAACCAAAGCTATTATACTAAATTCTCCACATAACCCCTTTGGCAAAGTAAGTGAGTTTTATAAACTCCTTACGTAGTTTTCTGATCCAGCATTTGCTCACACATTGAGTAATAATTGCTATGCTCTTGTTTGTTTAATATGTACAGGTGTACACCAAAGAGGAACTCCAAGTAATTGCTAACCTTTGCATCAAATATGACACGCTCTGCATCAGCGATGAGGTTTATGAATGGCTTGTGTATACTGGAAATAAGCATTTAAAAATAGATGCTGATCATTACATGGAGTCACAAATGTGTTTGGGCGTGTGTGGGACAACTATTGGAAAGGATCCCAGAACAGCTTTAAAATAATCTTTGTAATGTGTATCTGTCTGTGTGAGTACTTAAAAATGAGATTTGAATAAATGGTGCTCAAGTGAGTTAATGAACTGAAAATTGAAGGCCTAATAGAAAGGAACTTAAGGGAGGAGCTTTTGTATCACACCATGAAGCTATGAAACCAGAGCAGTGGTGTTGTAGGTCGGAATCAGGCTCTTCCATGGGACGACGAGGAAAGCACTCCAAGGATCCATGCACCAGAGGTTGTGACGTGGCAAGGTTTATTCAGGTGGGAACAGAAGCTGCCCCTGGGTTTCTAATTTCACATCTCCCTTTGTCCCACCATGGAAAAAGTCCAATCTCATCTTCAACTGGGGCAACACAAAAGCCAGTGTCCAGATTCATACTAAAGCTTAGCCCATTTGGAGCCCACACCATCTGCTGTGGGTCCCGACAGCTGCTGGACCCACATGGTCACGTGCTCCTGGATGAGAGAGAGCATGAACGTCCAGGGCGTGTATGGTACCCGTGGGCTAGAGAAAGAAAGAGAGGCTAAGAAAGCTTCTTGGTTCCCCTGGGATTATATTAGCTTGGGTTTGGGATGGACTAGGTAGGTAGTTTTTCAAAGGAACCAATCAACTCCCCAAGATTTCACAGACATTTGATAAGTTTACACTCCTTCATTAGAATGATAGGCCTTTTTGGTCAAGCACCTCTACCTGCACCCCCACACCCCACCATTCGGTATCCAAGGGGGGGAGGGAGGAGTGTTAATCCCCTTGGCAGAGCAGTGCTGTAATCCCCTGGGGTGTGAAGCTGTAGCTTCCCGGTGAAGCAAACAGGTTTATGCTCCCCAGTTTATTAAACTCAATGTCTAATTTTCTTTGCCCCTCTTTCCTTTGTTACTAATTAGATAAAACGAGCAGTAACATTAGTACTGCCTGTATCATTAGCTTCCATCAAGAATCCAGCTATAATTTGGTCCATAAGACACAGGAGCTTACTTGTTCTTGAACTGGACTTTCTCCTCAGAGAAAGTTGCCAAAATGTCAGGTCAACAGGAGGAGATTACAGGGACAGTAAACTGTTACTGCTTGGCCATTGCCTAGGATTTTGCCACTATTTCCGGGCCATCTCACAAAGGCCATGTTGCCTTCCAGGGTAACCCACCTTTATATCAGCTATTTGCACTTGCCCCTCCTGTGCCTGCAGATGCTTTTCCCCCAGATGGACACAGAGCTCAGTCTCTCCCCTCCCTCGGGTCTTTATTCAGGTGTCCGTTTTTATGACCACAGTTACATCTTTCCTTCCAGCATTTGCTTTGTCCTTTTTCTGTTCTGTTTTGTTATTTTTTTCCTTTGTAACAAATATCAGGATCTATATATTTTACATCTAACCTGCAAGAAGGAAAGGGTTTTAGTTTGTTTCGGTCTTCTCTGAATTCTCAGTCCCCAGAATAGGGTGTTGCACATGGTAGATGATCAAAAAGTAATTGTTGAATAAATGAACGGGAGGTGTGAAAAGGCTAAGGGAAGGATAACTAAAATCACTGTGGCAGGAACCAATACATTTAAAAAAAAATGAGTGCACCTACATGTACATGGCTGCTGCCAGTGTGATGATTATCCACACGGTGCATTGCAAATTGTTGTAGAGACACAGGGGAGACAGCAAGTATTTAAGGGGCTCAACAAAGGAGTGGGCAAAAGACAGAATTAGCTAGGCAAAAAAAATAGGTAGAAAACTTCCATCAGACAATCTGATAGGTACTAAGGCAAAAAAAAGCCTGAAAGAGCAAGGTAAACTTAGAAAAATAATTGGTTTATAGAGGTGTGTTGTAGTAGCTGATAGATGTGAAAGTGGAAAAGTAGGGTGATTCTGAAGGACATTGCATATGAAAATGGAGTCTGACTTTGTTGAGGAGTGTTAAATACAAAACAGCCTTTCCAAGTGAGAGGCAACAAGCTTTATAGAGGTCAGTATGGATAGCTACACTGGAATTCTTATTCAGGTGAAAGCCCAGATAATGTTCTGATTAAGAGACAAAAGCAATGAGTATTTATGAGAAAGGGAAGGGGGATAATTACATCAATAGAAGAGAGGAATTTCTATTGGTGCATATAACGTGTTAATTTTAAACAATGTTTTAATTTTCAGTCCAGTAGTCATTAGTCCAGCAGTCTTAATATCTGCGTTCTTGTTACCTTTGCAAACAGATTTTTAGGACACCAGTTTGCTTAGTCCCCATCCAAAGGTTACTTTGCTCTGTTTTAACATCCAAAGATTTGAGGCAGGAGACATGCAAGGTAGTTTCTCTGTCAGGGCAGCTCTGGCTGCATTTACACGTGTTGTTGTTTACAGGAGGTCAGTGGTGCTGAAGTTTATTTTAGTGGTAGGGCACCTCAAAGCCTTGATGCAAACATCATGAAATAGTGATAGCATTCCATCCTGAAACTAGAAATAATTTTCCTGACAGAAATGAAGTAAATAGAAGTCAATATAAAAATCACAATTCTGTGCATAGTTTTTCTCAACAAAGAGCTATTGAAATAAACACATCTGAGTTTTCCAGATTTTGCCATTAGTAATCACTTACTAAATGCTCATTTGTTTCACCATTGAGAGCATTCATTATTAGATGAGTGGCAGCGTTTATCTTAAGTGCTTAAGAAAATTTGGTGGAGGATAAGTTAGTTGATCTTTTTAAATTCTATACATTAATTTGATCACCAGAGAGAGTACCAGTGAGCATACTTTGAGAACTACTGCACAAGGTGTGACAACGCAGGAGAATTGATTACATGATTGGATATGTTTCATGAAGGTAAGAACCAGCTGCAGGTGAGGCCTCAAGCAAATCAGATGCCCCGGCAGTGGAGATGGTATTGCAAGCTGTTTACAAGGAGAAACTGAGGCACAGAGTACATCAGTAGAAGGCGGGAAGGGAAGAAGCCAGTATGACTCTGAGAGCTCCAGCCTGGCCCCTCAGCAGTGATGAGACCCTTACCCAGAGACAGAGATGTGGAGAGGAGGAGCAGATCTGTGGGGAAGAGCTGAGCCAAGGAAATTCTGGCTGCTCGTGCTTCCGTCTTGTTAAATTTCAGTGTCTATGAGACACAAAAGTCTGAAAACAGCTGAAATTACAGGCTTGATGGTCAAGAGGAAATTACGAGGGAGAACGTATAAAGAGAGTAGAAGGCCAGAGGTTTTCAAGGTGTAGTGCCTGAGGCAGTAAACTGTGGTTCTGTGTAACACTGCATCAGAGTTCACCTCCACATGTCTTGTGGATGACATGCCTTTGTCTTGGGTTGTTTGAACTATTCCCCAGTGGAAAATCAGGCCAATATGGACAATTAATTTTTTGGTGTTTTTTACATTAAATTTTATTAAATTACTATGTATTTTAAAATATTTTCAATTAATTTGATTTATTAAAATAGTTAAATATTTTGAATAAAATAACTTTAATTGATTGAATTATTCTGTTACATTTATTACATTCTTTTAGATTAAGCACAGAGGGAGAGGCATCTATCTATAATGAATAAATATGATTTTACATTCTACCTACAGCATATGTTCATGCCTGTGCAAAAATGACTCAGAGCTTTAGAGTTTTAGCTCAGTTTAGCAATATTGTTTCCAAAAGATTACTTTAATAATCTTGAAATTATTTTTAAGCCTGTATCATATTTAAACCTTGTTATATTTAAGCCCTTCATGGTAACAGTGTAACTGATAATATCATTTACAAGAGATAGCAAGACCCATATTTTTAAGTCAGATTCTCTAGTTGTTATAACAGCCCATAAAGTTAAAACAAGAAAAAAAAATGAATTCACTGTTTCATTATTTAGAGAATGCAATTTGGTTGCATGAAAACTTATTCTATCAAATAGAGTGGCCTTTGTTACATGAAAGAAGATACAAAACAATCTGTAGAGTGCAATAGTAGTTCTTTAATATAATACAGTACAGCCCTTCCAGCCACACATCATGAAATTAGCATCATCTTCCTGTTGTCACAGAGGCAGTTTTCCCTGGTGTGGGGCTCTTCATCATGCCTCTAATCTCCTCCTGACTTTATCGAAGCCTAAGTCGCCTGTGAATAACTGTTACAGCTTGGATGGCTGATTTAAGGACCATCATGGGTCACAAGTGAGGAGTGCAAAGACCAGTTGCCTTTCAGATGTACTGCAAGCTGAAGTTACTGATACTGGACATAGTTTTTAAGTAATCAGACCTGCCAGTATGTTTCTTTTACTCCAGGTCACTGTGGTCATAGCGCTGTGATCACACATTCTGCCTGTCTGTTCACATCAACTTCTGTGGCTCCCCAAATCTCTGAGACAGAGGATATGAACATCTGGGTGCTTCAAAATTACTTCAGACCCTTTCTGTTGAAATGGTAGAATTTGTTCTATTGGATCAGATTCTTGACTCAAATAGTATCTCTAAGTTTTAGTAAGAAAGCTTTTAGTCAATGAAAGAAACCTCTCTTATAAAAGAGGTTTCTAATACACTGGTATTTGTATACTAATCCATTGATATTTGGAAAATTAGTATAAAATTCTTTGCAAGCTATTTATCTGCTCAGCTTACATCCACTTTTATTTTGCTCAAGTAACCATCAACAAATTGGTCTTTCTTAAAATATTAAATTAGATTTGATAGTTTGTGCCTGAAGCCTACATTTGACATGAGTACTTTAAATTTCTTTCATATGTAACTTACCATGAAAACATTTTAGGATTGTATTAGTTTCTCTGGGTAATTTTTTATTTTCAAAGATGTTATTTCCAAATATTGTTCTTACTAATAGGCCTTTCTGATTTTGGATATGTATTATTACTTTGAAGGGAGTGATCCTCTGCATTATACAGAGTCAAACAGGAGAGTGGCACATGGGACGTGGTTTTCCTTTGGAATACTTTGGAAGTCGAGAAATGACTCGGAATGTGAAGGGATATAATTATTTATATCAAATATTGGAATATTCCTTCTTTGAATGGACCCTCTGAATATTTTCCCCATTTATCTTTTCAGGTTTTTTTATACTCCACAAAGAATATCATTATAACTTTTTGGTTTATACAGTTTTTGTACCTTTACAAATATTGTCAGGTGCTTCATGATAGACTGAAATTATGTATACATTCATTTTGGAAATTTCTTTAGCTACCTTACATTTTAGTAAGCACTTGACTTGCTTATCAGAAGATTACTTTAAGCAAACAGCTTGCCCCCTCTCCCAGTATTTATTTTTGTGTGTGCCAACACTCTTAGAATGATACGAGAGCATCTCTTTTATCTACTGTACCTCCAAAAACCAAGTGAAAAACTTGTGGGATTGCATGTAAAGAACTTCACAACTGAATTATGTGAGGAATCCAAAAGGCAGTGTTGTAGGTAGCATTCTCAGAGGATTACAGAGAAATAATGTACCACTGTCCAGCAAAAGATATAAACTCTTGCATTTTATACCTCCAAGACTTTGTTTTACACATTCCCTTTGCCCCAAATTTACCTTTCTTTTTCCTTCCCTGCCTGGCAGACATCTTCCAAGTCTCTGCTCGAGCATCCCACCCCTGCTACCTTCCATCCTTGCATAATCCTCTGAGCCAGTCGCTATTACAGTGTCTTACGGCATTGCAAGTGTTGCCTTACTCATCTCCCACCCCCACTAGACATTAAGCTCCATGAAGATATGAACTGTATCTTTCTCATCTTGGTTCCTCTAGGCTTAGCTTAGTCCCTGGTGCCTGATCATTACTAATAAATGTTTAACAAGTGGATGAATAAATGATTTTATTAAAGATACAAATCAACTTGAAAGCTTTCCCAGTTGTTGCTCATTATTCATGGAATCTATATTTGTGAATGCACCTACTCACCTACAGATAAAATATATCTGTAACCCCAAAGTCACTGGAGTGCTTCTTTCTCAGACATGTGCAGAGGGGTGAAAAATTTGTTACCCGATATGCATGTTCCCCATTGGGGTCAACAGGGCAACCCTCTGCCTTCTTGCTTTAGCTCGTACTATAAGTGAGTGTCCTTCTAATGGTGACTTTGCTGCTTAGAGTGTCTTCTATGTGTGGGGCTGAAGTACTGTCTAATGTTTCTAAGTGCGGGAAGGCTGCTGTGCATTACAGAGGAAATACTTGGCATTAGATAAGCTCCTCTGAGGCACAGATTCTAGTGCTCTTGGCCATGGGGATCCTAGGGGCTGACATCTAAAAGGTGTGGAGCTTCTTTCAGGGTGAAAAAAAGTTCTAAAGTTGATTATGGTGATGGTTGCCCAACTCCATGGGTATACTAAAAACATTGCTTTGCACACTTTAAATGAGTGAATTATATGATGGGGGATTTATATCTCAATAAAGTTGTTAGCAGAACATATATATGCACACACATGCACAGGCACACACAGATTGCTGGGCCCCACCTCCTGAGTTCTTGACTCAGTAAGTCTGTGATACAGTCCAAGAATTTGCCTTTCTTACAAGTTCCCCAGTGTACTGACATTGCTGGTGTAGGCCAAGACAGAGGTGAACTAAATGGTAGCCAGAATCACAACGAAAATATGCCACAGAATGCTTGCCTTGACCACACAGCCACTGCCAGCAGAGTGCTGGGTGCCACAGCCTGTGTGGCCGCCACACTGAACCAGCCCAGAACACTGCCTACTGGCACCTCTGCCACTCCCGCCCCTGGAAATCATGTTGCTACTTAAGATTATTCAATACATTACCTATTATTTTGGGACAATATTACAGTGTTTACAAACATTGCAGCATTTTCAACTATGCTTGAGTTAAAGTAGCATTATCTTTTTAAAAACCTATTGAAGCCCTGCCTGTTGTGGCTCAATGGATTGAGTGCCAGCCTGTGGTCTCCAGTTCCATCCCACTCAGGGCATGTGCCTGGGTTGCAGGTGTGCAAGAAGCAAATGATTGATGTTTCTCTCCCTCTCTTTGTCCCTCCCATCTCTCTAAAAATAAATAAATAAAATCTTTTTTAAAAAACCTATTGAAATAACTTTACTGATCACACTATGATACATTTGTTTTTAGATTGTACCAAATGTAGATTGATTGAAAGCAATTATTTAATTTTTTGTGTGTGTCTGTTCAGCCACCTTTCCAGGTATGTGGGAGAGAACAATAACCATAGGAAGTGCTGGGAAGACTTTCAGTGTGACTGGCTGGAAGGTAAGACAAAGAATTTAATTGCTTAAAAACAAGTGTGTAACTTCCTTTTTGTAGAGTTTTTGTATATTAAATGCACATATAGTTCGTTTACACAGGTGTTTATACTTGCTGATCTTTTGCTTATTATTTACTCGTTCTGCTTTCACGTTGGCCTTTATTTTCTCTGAGAATTAATCATTTCTTTAAAAATAAGAAAACTAGGTAATTTTTCATTTTACAAATAACCAACTGATGACACTTTTTCTTGGCAAAGAATGTTCAGATTGCTGCCCATTAGTGTAAGAGGAGAACAAATAATGAAAGCAGTATTTTGGTACTTACACTATGTGCGGGGTTTAGTGCTGAACCTGTACTGGTTCCCTCCATCCTCATAACCGCACTAGGAGGTGGCACAATCTGTTACCTCCATCTTCCAGACAGTAAAACCAAAGTACAGAGATCTTAGGGAACCTGCCTCAGGTCCCACTGCTAATACATTCAACGCAGGGAATGCAGGCTGGCGTGTAAGTCCCTGCCCTGAACCACTGTGCTCTAACCCACGATTTATCAGGTTGAAACTCAATTATCTTCAAATCTTGCCTTCTAACCATGACTGAGAAGCAGGGATTATCAAAAATGAGGCCTGCAGAGCCATAATGGAAGATCCCTCAGGCCCTCATTCAGAGTTACTTTAATCTGTATGTAATTCAAACAAGCTTTGGTGCCGTTTCTCACAGCTTCAGAGCATCACAAGCAGTGAACTAACAGGGAAGAAGATAATGATTGCAGGTACCTTCTGAGAGCAGAGTTTAGTGACTCCAATTGGCAACTTTTACACAAAAAGAAGTGTTGAAATCTAAAACTGAACTCCCTTCATAATATGAACACTTTAGAATTGAATATATTTAATAATTGCATTAAGCTTACTACTCTAAACAGATTTGGTACATACGATTAGATTGATATTTGCTTTTATCTTTTTCTTCTTCAGCTTGGCTGGTCCATTGGTCCTAATCACTTAATAAAACACTTACAGACAGTTCAACAAAACAGCATTTATACCTGTGCAACTCCTTTACAGGTAGGTGTTACAGTAACTTGGGGGTTGAAGCGTGGTCTTTGGTGAAGGTGTTATGTTTCTGTTGTGTGTTTGAGTTGCTTGGTTCTCTCCTTCATGCCCTTGCTGAGTACAGATTCTAGTATAATTTGGGATTTCAGGAGCAGACACATAGTCATTGCTATTAAGAATAGTTTGTTTTTTTAAATATTAATACATCAAGTCTTAACTTCAAACACTCCTCCTTTTCTGGTGGGTTTAAAAAGCACTATAAAGTCTCCAGAGGACAGTGGCAGCACCAAGCCAAATGAGAGATGTGCGTGTGCTGTGAGGCAGCACTCTCTCCTGGGAAGTTGCTCTGTAACTATTATCTGCATGTGTAAGAAGCCCTGTGTGCACAGCCATTTACTGCAGGAGAGAGGGGAAAGTTATTGTCCATCTGCAGGCAGTTGGTTTAAGTAAACCATGATCTATCTAAACATTTAAATAGTGTAGGACTATATTAGCATCCTATTTCTCTGTAACACATTACCACAAACTTAATGGCTTAAAGCAACACAAATTTTGTATCTTACAGTTCCGGGGGTCAGCAGCTGAAATGCGTTTGTCAGGGCTAAAAGCAGGGTGCCAGCATGGCCACGTCCCTTCTGGAGGCTCTAAGGCAGGGTCCGGTCCTTGTCTTTCCCAGCTTCCAGGGGCTGCCTGCATCCTTGGTGCTCGGTCACCTCACTCCAGCCTCTGCTTGCGTCAGCACACACAGCACACACAGGGGGCCCTCCTGCCCCCTGCTTTCCCTTAGAAGAACCCTTGTCATGGCATTAGAGCCCAGATTCTCCAAAATGATCTCTCCATCTCAAGATCCTTACCTTAAACACTATTTACTAAGGTCACTTTACCAGACGAGGTAACGTATCAGCAGGTTCTGGGTATTAAGACATGGACATCTTTGGGGGCCATTATTCTGACACCATGGTTGTTTAAAAATTAACAGTAGAGAAAGGGGAATAGTGAGGACGCTCTATAATTACTGATATGAAAACATTTCCAGAATATAATGTAACGTACAAAAGCAAGATACAGAGCAGTGTATGTTTATGCTACATTTTGTATAAGAAAGGGGAAAACTCTTTGCTTAAATGCTCTTAAAGGATCTCTGGAAGGATCCAAAATGAAACTAGTAAAAGTGGCTATTTGTAGGAGTAAGGGGAACAGGTGAAATTAATGGATAGGAACAGGGGTGGGTGAAAGAATTTTTAATGTATATTTTTCTATATTTCTCTTTTTAAAAATATTTATAAAGTACCATCACTCTATGAATAATCAGAACACTGAAAAAATTTATTTTTCTGGAAAGCAGTTGAAAGGCCAAAGAATGAAATATGTAATCACTCTAAAGTAATACCATGATAAAGGCTAGTTCTGACATTTGCTTTTATTATATAGTATTAAACTCATTTTATCCTTTGAAAATAAATCCATTCTTTTGATCAACCAATATTCACTGAGTACGGAAGACAAGCAGATAAAGATTCCTGCCCTCATGGACCTTATAGCACAATGGAGAGGCATAGATAATAAATAAATATTTTAATAATATATTTCAGATGTTGATGGATGCAATGGAGAAAAATAAAGAAGGGAAGAGGAAAGATGTGAAGTGCTAAGGTGGAAATATACAACACTAAGTATAAGTGCAGAGGCCCTGGGGTGGGCAGTCTGGTTGTGCACATCAGTGAAATGAAAAGCACCGAGGCTGAAACAGCATGATCAGGGGAGAAGAGCAGGAGGAAGTAAGTCAGAGAGACAGCTGGGGGCCAGATGAAGAAGGGGTGTGTTTGTCAGGGTGAAGACTGAGTGAGATAGGTAGCCACTGGAGAGTTTAGAGCACAGGAGTGACATGATCTAACTTGTGTTATCAAGGGGACTCTGGCTGCTTGGCTGAGTTAGAAGAATGCTGACGTGATGAAGGAGAGAGATAGTGATGGACTGAACCAGTGTGGGGATGGTAGAAGTGGTGAAAAGTGACTGTGTTCTGAATATTTTTTGAAGGCAGATGCTGATGGATTACATGTGGGTTATGAGAAAAAGAAGAGCCCAGAATAATTCTACAGTGAGGACATATGTTTATCTCCTGGGCTTTGAGTTTTCTAGGGTAGGATCTCCTGCTGTAGGGAATAAATGTTACTGAGGAAAAGAAAGATTCAGCTAAGAATCTGGAACACCTTTTTGAGAACCACCTTACTGTCCATTCCAGCTAAGTGGCCTGTTTATTTTCCATTCCTTCAAAAAACCATGTTTGGAAACTGGCCCAAGTTTTCAGCGGAACCACAGATTCCTAGGCTGAAGCAACCTATGCTTATTTATCCAAGGTTTTTTTAGTACTGGGGAATCACTACCATTAATCCTTTTTTTCTGCTGAATTCTTTTGGCATGCAGCCTTCTCCGATTTAGCCCTTCCCTGTCTCTCAGTGTCGTCTTTTGCCAGGCTCTCTCTCCTGCTGCCTACCCGCAGCCACGCTAGACTTCTCTCATTCTTCCACAAAAGCAAATGATACCCTATTTTGTTTGTGCAATTGTTTCCTGTCTCATCTCTCCCCCTGCTCTCACCCAGACATGCTAATCTGAGGCTTCATGAGGGCAAAGACCACATTTATCTTGTTTATCATTGTAGCACCAGCATTTATCACAGTGCCGGTTTTAACATACTGAGTTCATTTACTAAGTAATTGAATGCATCCTCTACTTCTTGATATCTCTTGATTGTGATTAATTTCCTTAAAATTTGGCCATTTTGCCTTTCTATCTCCTAACTATCCCAAGTTCTTGGTTAGTTGCTTGGATCTCCTGGTTTGCTCTGAGAACCAGTATTTCTAAGTTAAGCCAGTTCACACGTGCCCACCAAGCTTCCCCATTCCTGCTTGGATAAGTGCGTGTTCTTTTTGTGCGCCCTCATTTAGACATGTGACTTGTTCCTGACCTGTTGCCCTCTCAGGCACCTGCCTAATAGCATTGGCTTTTCTCTGGGCCCAACTTCACCCTTGTGTTGTCTGACTTTCCTGAAGAAAGGTAGAGAAGTCACTGGCATGCCCCAGAAACCCATTTCTAATACCGGTGGCACTTAGACCCTCTCCCTGGAGTACAAATGATTAGAACAGGGATTTGCACACCTGTGAGGAATGACACAGAAGGTCAGCTTTCATTTCCATGGTGTCCTCCAAGGTAAGGGGGAAAGGCTGGCCAGGTCCTCATTTCTCTCCTCATCTTTTAGACTTAGGTGTAACAGTCATTCTGCAGCTCACCTCAGAACAGCCCTCCATGTGATCTCTATTTCTGTGATTCTGTTCCAATTCTAATTGTTGGCTTAGTTTGCTTTTGTTTTGTTAGGTTCAGTTGTTGATAGTTGTGAGCTTGTTGTCATTTTACTGTTCATATTTTTTATCTTTTTTTCCTTAGATAAGTCCCTTTAACACTTCATATAATAAGGGCTTGGTGACAACGAACTCCTTTAACTTGACCTTATCTGGGAAGCACTTTATCTGCCCTTCCATTCCAAATGATAGCTTTGCTGGATAGAGTAATCTTGGATGTAGGTCCTTGCCTTTCATGAGTTGGAATACTTCTTTCTAGCCCCTTCTTGCCTGCAAGATTTCTTTTGAGAAATTAGCTGAAAGTCTTATGGGAACTCCTTTGTAGGTAACTGTCTCCTTTTGTCTTGCTGCTTTTAGTTCATTTTCTGGAGTTTTGATCTGTTCTTTCATTTGGGCCATATTTCTTTTCCTCAGTGCACCTGTTGCATTGTAAGGGGTCAATCATTAGGTATTTTCCAGGGTGGGGCAACCCAGTTTGCTGAATTGTGGCAGTGTATGTTGGGGAGGGCTTAGAGACAGAACAATGGCACTTACTCAGCTGGCTTTCAGTCATTTCCTCTGCTTCCCATTAGCAAATTGTGCCCTTTTAGTGCTGATTCCTGGATGGGTGGGTCTGTGTACATTTTAGGACCCCATGGGTCCCTCCAACAGACTCTCCTGTGAGGCTGGGAGTTTCTTCTACCACCACAACCCCCACAGGTTTTTACTGTCAGTGGTTTTGAGGCTTTCGTTTCCCACACTGGAACCCTGGGTTGCATGTCTATCTGCATGGTCTGTTTTGCTCCTCAGTTGTTCCACTTACTTTATCAGCACAGAAATGTGGGCCCACCAGCCACCACCTGACCCATCTAGTCCTCTAGCTGCTAAATTGCTGTGTGCACTCTCTGCCCCGGCTGCCCGTCTCCACCCTTCCTACCAGCCTGGATATATGTTTTTTTTTTAATTCCTCGGTTGTCAGACTTTCATACATTTCAATTTTCTGGCAATTTTGGTTGTTTTTTGTTTTTGTATTTGTTGTTGTCCTTCTTTTAGTTGTGCAAGGAAGCAAAGCATTTTTACCTATGCCTCCATCTTTGCCAGAAGTCTAGAAGTTTTTCTTTATTATTCTTGGTATTCTTTGTCCTTCACATGATATTTCCCCCAGAAATATCATAAATGTTTTTATTTCTACCAGAAAATTATTTGTTCTTATTTTAGAGCTCAATTTTAGTTTTTTATTAATTTTTTAAAATTTTTATTGTACTTTTGTCCATTACCATGTAGTCCTCTTGTACTCCACTACCCCCACCACACAGTTGTCCATGTCAATGAAGAGCTCGAATTTTATTTCTGACATGAGGATTTAATATAAAATATATTTCTGATAGTTTTGGGGATTAAGCTCTCATTTACAAAAAAAAATCTAATAATCATGTCACTAGACACTGTGGAATGGCTAAGGAAAACAATCACAATTTTTTGCAGTTGGGATAGATGCCCCTGCTTCTTCTCCAGAAGTACTTGTTTTACTTTTGGCTCTGGAAAAAAAGAAATAAATATAATTTTTATGTTTGAGTAGACTAGCCTTAGGTTGCTTTGCATGATCAAATAAAAGGATACTCACAGGCATCAGTGTTAAAGTGATGCAAAGATCCCTGGAAATGGAAGTCTTCAATCTCCTTGTCTGCAGACTATCTCATCAATGATTGCTCTTCTTCTTTCTACAGGTGAGGATCCCCAAATCAAGAAATCCAATATGCCTAAAATATGTATCAAGAAATTCTTTCCAAGGCAGAAGTGCCTTGTTTTTGACTGGCCTATCAATGACAAAATATTATTACGTCATATGGAGGAGGTGTCAGAAAATGAACTAGATTTGAATTTCCAGGAGCAATCCAAAATATTCGGTGACTATATCCTCACACACTCGAAAGCCAAGACCATAAGAGAGGAAATAATTGTCACTGGAAATGGTGAGCCTTGTTGTTACAGCATGTTTCTTTGTGGTGTGATGTGTGTGACTACACTCTGAGTTTGTTGACAATTTTGTTTCCTCCTCTATCTGATATGGAAAAAGCAGAGATTCATGCCACACACAGACATGCATGTTCTTCATTAAAGTTTCTCTATATGAAGGATAATTGAACCCTACTGTGTCTCTTGAGACTAATACAGCAATAACATAAGTACAAGGTGCTATAAAGGGTAGGAATCTAGTTCATAAAGAGAAGACCAATGAGATGGTGTGTTTTGATGAAAATACACAAAATTTTTGTGAATTTACACCAGTTAGAAAATATGTAGCAAAACACTATCCTCTGAAAGCTCATGAAGAGTTTGAGAAGCAAATTCCATAGCCTTATATACAGAGTGACATTCACTGATATGCCACCTGGGCAGACACACAGACCTGGGGTTAAGATGGGCCCACTCTTGGTTTAATGTATGTGTCACTGTCCTGAGATCTTGATGATTTTTCAAGGGATCCCATTCATTTTGGAATAGTGCCCACCAATTATCTACTTTACTTACCTATAAAATAAATGTTTTTTTTTTTTACATTTCCCTGGGAAAGTATTCTAGGAAATCCTGGAACACACTGAGATTACTATTGTGATATTAAAACATGATGAATTAATGAATCAAAATAGAGTGAATAGCATGCACAATGATGTTATCATTTGAAAGTGGACACATGAAAAAAGGAGGAGGAGACAAGGCACAAAGAACATGGGGAGAAGAAGAAAGAGAAAACCAAAAACTTCATTTCAATAAAATTGTTGTGATTTTTAGAAAGCTGATCACTAAAACTTGTAAAACAATGAATTTCGTTTCTGTTTATTACCTAAATATCACATATAACGCAGGGCTGGGGATTCTGGCAAAGGCCTATGTGGACACCATCAACAGTGGAGCAGTGCCTTGTTTGGAGAACGCAGTGACAGCTCTGGCCCAGCATGAGAATTCAGTGGCCGTGCAGAAGGCAGCCGACCACGACAGTGAGCAGATGGCCCAGCGAGTGAGGTTTCCCACAGACACGCTCCAGGAGCTGCTGGACCTGCATGCAGCCTGTGAGAGGGAAGCCATTGTGATCTTCATGAAGCGCTCTGTCGAGGATGATGAGCGGCCGTTCCAGGGGAAGTTAATGGTAATATGGCTTATCCTACATCCTTCCTGAAAACTATCCTTCTAAAATGATTCCCTTTTTGTGACTCTACAGTTCACGTGTTTCTCACTGTAGAATGAGCATGGATTTTTCTCAGTGATGGGGCTCTGTAGGCTTTGGTCCCTGCTTTTTCTAAAAGATTTGTTCTTTATGTTCTATTATTACAAAGTAAAACACTGTGTGCTTCACAGCTTAAAACAATACATGTTTATTAGCTCACAATTCTTCGGGACAGATTCAAGTACAAGATATGGATGCCCTTGTACCACAGGTTGAAAACAAGTTTCACATGGGCTTGTATTATCAGTGGAGGTTCTGGGAACTCCCCTCCATCTTCAAGTCATCAATGGTGCATCTATCCTTGTATTGTTTCTGTATTTGTGTGACTTCCTCCTGTGCCATCAACTGGAGAAAACTGCTTTTAAAGGGCTCATGTAGTTAGGTAATGCCCATCTGGAAAGTTCCATCCTAAAGTCATGTGAACTGTAAAACATACAGGATTAATGTTCATCATGTTCACAGGCCCAAGGACTGTGTAGAGAGTGGACACAAGGGGAGAGAACTTCTAGAAAATATCATAATTCTACTTATTGTATGTACCTTCACTGTGTTTGTCTATGAGTCTGTCTTTGGCTATCATACAAGTTACAAAAATGTCTTCAGTTCATAAAGAGGAAACCAACTTCATTAAAATAAAGTACAGCAAATAAAATTTGTTTCTATATTTTTGCTTAATTAAACCCTCATTGAAAAAAGCTCATGACTGGTTTAAAACTCTCTTCAGAGACCGCTTAACTCATTAGTGGGCAATTGATTTGTTATGTATGTATTTTTATCCATAGCAACCCAAGATTGCAGAGGAAAGGCATATCGAACTTTCCATTGCTTGTTGTTGATTAATCCTGCTACTGATAAAGGAACCATGTGTGTAACACTGGATTGCATATTTGAAAGTTGCTAGAGAGTAAATCTTACAACTTCTCACACACATGAAATAAATGTTTGTAACTATGCAAGGTGAAGGGTGTTAACTAGAATTATTGTGGTGATCAGATCACAACATATACAAGTATCGATCCACTAAGTTGTATATCTGAAACTAATACATCAATTAAATATCAGGGGGGAAAAGCACCATGGAGTTTACGTCTACCAGCTCCATCATTTTACAGGTGTTGATCCTGAGCCAAAGGGAATATGGGACCTTCCACATGATGCCTGGTCATTTCAATTCCCAGTCCACCCTGATGCCACCAGACTGCTTCTTTTATTTTTCTTTTAATCTTTTTATTACAGTTGACTTATAGTATTGTATTAGTTTCAGACATACAACATAGTGATTAGGCATTTAGGTAGCTTCCAGAGTGACCACCCTGACAAGTCTAGTACCCATCTGACACTGGACAAAGTTATTACAGTATAATCGACTATATTCCATATACTGTACTTTATATCCTCGTGACTTTTTTTTACAACAGGTGACTTGCCCTTTTTAATCACTTCCTTCTTTCACCAATTGCTCCAAACTGCCTCTTATTTGGCACCTATCAATTTCTTCTCTATATCTATGAGTTTGCTTCCACTATGTTTTTATGTTTATTTTATGACATATAAATGAAATCATGTCTTTCTCTCTGCAACTTATTTCATTTAGTGTGATACCCCCTCAGTCTACCCATGTTTTCATGAATAGCAAGGTTTCATTCTTTTATATCGACCAGTAATATTTCATTGTATATATACCACTTCTTTACCAGTGTCTATTGATGGACCCCTTAGCTGTTCTCATATCTGGGCTATTATAAATAATGCTGCAATACATAGGGGTTCATATGTCTTCTCAAATTAGTGTTCTGGATTTTTTTCAGATAAATACCCAACAGTGGAATAGCAGGGTCATACAGTAGTAATATTTTTTAATTTTTTTGAGGAATCTTCTTCCTGTGTTCCATGGTGGCTGCACTAACTTAAAATCCCACCAACAGTGCATAGTGGCTCCTGTTTCTCCACATCCTGGCCAACACTTGTGTTTTTTGATTTATTGGTGGTCACCATTCTGACAGGTGTGAGGTATTGTGTTTAATTTGCATTTCTCTGATGATTAGCAATACTGAACATCTTTTTATGTCTTTTGACCATCTGTATGTCTTTTCTTACTATATTTTTAATTGTATTTGTGTGTGTGTCAAGTCATATGAGTTTCCTCTCTATTTCAGATATTAACCCATTATTAGATGTAGAATTGGTGCATATCTTCTCCTATTCATAGGGTTTTTTTCATTTTATTGATGGTTTCCTTCACTTTACAAAAACATTTGAGATTGATGTAGTCTCATTTGTTTATTTTTTTTTTGTTTCCCTTGCATGAGGAGACATAGTAAAAAATATTACTAAGAGTGATGTCAAAGAGCTTACTGCTTATATTTTCTTCAAGCTTTATGACTTCAAGACTTAAATTTAAGTCTGTAATCCACTTTGTGTTTGTCTTCTATCTATCTGTCCAGTTTTTTTTTTCAACATGATTTACTGAAAAGACTGTCGTTACCTCCTGTGCCCGCTCAGTGGGTGGAGAAAGGGCTCATCAAAGAAACAATGGCATCTACCTCCTTACTCATCCCCCAGAAAAAGCCACCCTGAAATCTAAACCTCCACTGTAGCCCTGAAGCTAGTCAATTAAATTCTTCACTGTATATCCCTGGAGTCTTTCAGGCTCCTGCCCCTGCAGTGTTGCAGCAAGTGAGTTTGAGAGCAAGTGAGTCCTTTCCCAGGTCCCTCAAAAAGAATGCTTGACATTCTAGAAGCTTTCCTTCTTATTCATTCATAATCCTTTCGGGTTTTCACAAATGTGTGGGAACTCCTCTTCCAGGCACTGGTTTCTTGGTCTAGGGATCCCAGTATGGGCTGGGACCCATCATCCCACAGTGGGGGAACTCAGCAGCTGAGATATCCCTCCCAAATCCTAGTTGCCTAGTAGATGTGGGACCTGTCTGTACAACATCTCTGTCCCTCCTACCAGTCCTGTTGTGGCTTCTTCATTATATCAGTACTGGTACAACTTCTGCTCAGCTAGTCTACAGATAATTCACAATGATGGTTGCTCTATAATTTAGTTGTAAATCTGATGTAGTCATGTGAGGAGGCAAGCACAGCATTTACCAACTTTGCCATCTTGATTGCAAGTCACACTGCTTCTTCCAAGAGGATCACAGTTGGATCTTCCCTTCTAATGCCTTATGTTCTTTGGGTTTCTCCAAATTTACCTGGCAGGAAACTATAAGGAGGAGGAAGGAAGATTTCTTGCAACAGAATGAACATGCATCTGTCAAATATTGCCAGGCTCAGCATAAGCAATTTAAAGAGCCCTTGATGGAAAACATTTCAAAAGGAACTTTCTCTGTGCCTGGAGGATACAATCTCTACTTAGAAGCAATGGACAAGGTTGAACAGTCCTATCACCTGGTGCCCAGGAAAGGAATTAAGGTGAGAAATAGAAAGAGGTGGGGAAAATAGCAGGTTAGGGTCAGAGAGTCTTTGTTATTTCTTTTCAAATCCAACACCACACCACACCATTTGTGGAAACAAAGTGAATGTGGTGAGTCCTACATTTTTAGCTTTTATATCCACAATTACCTAGATACTTTTAAATGAACCTGACATATTTCTTCCCAAATATAGGATTTATTATCAGAAACCTAGATAAAAGAGAACATTTGTTTTATTTAACAGTTTAATGGTTTTTTTTTTGTGCTAAATATCAGAGGAACAGCATTCTCAAAAAGCTTATGCTCTTACCAAAAAAAGGACATATATATACTCAGTTGGATATGATGGGATATTATTATCATACAAGTATACACTGATAATGATGATGATGGCTAACATATTTTGAGCACTCACTTTCTATTATAGGTATGATATTAGGTGCAGTGTTTGGATTATAAATTTAATTCTTCGATTAATATAAATGTAGTTGCCACTGCCATCCTCATTATATAATTGAGAAATGTGATGCACTGAGAAGCTAATCAGTTACCTAAGAACACACAGTCAGCAAACAGTAGAGCTGGTTGGACAGGTCTGTGTATCTGACATCCATTCAAATGTCAGAAGGAAGTTTAGCAAAGCTTCCTGGAAGAGGAGATGGAAACTATAAGCTGAGGTATCAATAAATGATATCCAGGTAAAGAAAGGGTTAGAAATATCCAGTCAGGAGAGAAAGAATGTGCACATATCAGATACAATGGAGGATTAGTGTTTGTAGGACTGCACATGAACCTGGTTGTCTGTATCCTAGGGTGGGTGATGCCTGGCATCATTAGGACAGGAAGCTGGAGAGCTGGGAGGTTACTATAGAGGGTATTTTTTTCTAACTAGAGAGGTTGGATTATTTTTTATTGTGGCCAGTAAAGAAAGGGAACTACTCTGGGTTACTAGTAAGGATGAAGAATTTGCATGGTCTAATTTGTAGTTTTACTGAACAACAATTATTTCAGCAAGACTCTTTGCTCCCTCTTTCTCCCCGCCTCCCCAGGCAAATGAGGTCTTCCAGAACTTCCTGCAGTCACAGACTGCAGCAAAGGAATCCATCCTGCAAGCAGACAAAGCCCTCACTGCTGGGGAGAAGGATCTAGCAGGTACAGGAAAGGGCTCTGATCACAGAGGAGGGGGAGGTTCCTTCAGTGTCCTGTAACAAGTTTGAGAACAAATCTTTCCTGAAACAAAGTGCTTCTGTCTTTCTATCCAAGGTGCTTCTGTCTTTCTTTTCAACAACTCTACTAAATGAAAAATAACCTCATTCAACCAATTAATGTTTTTCCATCACATTCTGAACCAGAGATATATCGTTACCATTTTTAACTCATTTTAGACTCTGAATACAGAAGTGTACAGCTCAGCATAACTTATTCTCTTTCCTCTGTAAAACCCTGGGGGAACAGCTGAGTGTGCCAAAAAATTGGAAGCTGAGAAGGAATGGGAGCTGTTAAGGCAGAAACTTAATGAAAAGCAGGAAGAAATGAAGGCTCAAGAGAAAAGCTTTGAGGAAAACATAGCCCAACTGAAGAATAAGTTAGAGAGAGATCACAAGAACAGACTGAGGGAACAGGAAGAAATACTGAAGAAGAAGCACAAGGTGAGTCTGGGTGGGGCCTGGGCAAAGGCTAAAGGACAATCAATAACAGGGTTCTTCATAATGGAAGAACAAAAATTTTATCTCAAGTTACATACCCTGAAGAAAGTACAAAGGCATACAATTCAGTGAAATGTGGAATTAATAGGATCAGTCTAAAGCCCTAAGATACAATACTCAGCACTTTCTTTACTACTAAAGATAGAAGAGTACAAATAACATGCACCAGGCTCCTGAATTTCTGTTTATGGTGACAATAGGGTATTATTTTGCCCCCAAGTGAATAGGACCTTAGTCTTGTAGCCCTAGGATGTTTGCTACAACCATCAAAGAGACTTAATGTAGACCTATCTGGTTGAAAACATCAGATGTACCTGATGTGATGTATAGGATCCTAAAAGCTCTTCAAGTTGCTGCATTTGTTTCCAGATCTGCCTGATTTATTCCCTACACCCAGAGTACAATTCATTCTTTGCCCCAACAGGAATTTATACCCAGTGTTCTCTAGAGAGTTAGAGGTTCCCATTATGTATTACATGTGTGTAGTCATCCTACCATTATTAATGGAAAGTGAGTTCCTACAGTGTCTAGATGGAATTTCCTAAGACCTATAAAGGGAGGCTGGGGCTCTGTGGTGAACTTCATTAGTGATATAAAATGAAGGGGGTGCCCCTCTTGACCTCCCAATGTTTCCCTTCCATCTGTCTTGCCATGGAAAAAGTCCAATCTTGTCTTCAGTAGGGCCACTATATAGGCCACTGCTCAAAGCTTTTGCTCCATATTCAAGTACAGTCCAGAATCCATTTTAGCTTGTGTTCCCAGCTGCAGTTCATTACTGTGATGGCATTCTCCTCAAGTCTATATGCAGAGCCCACGTAGTCATGGGCCAGGTGACTTCTAAGGCCACATGGCTATGGCAAGAGGACATGTGGGTGCAATGGGTGAGTGTGAGTCACCCAGATGAGAGAAGGAGAGTTTCTTTCCTTCCTTGGGATCATATACACTTAGACATGGAAAGACAAGAATTGTTTTCAAAATGACCAATCCACTTCCCAAGTTTCTGTGGCATATTGATGGGTCTACATACACTAGTTAGACTGACAGGCTTCTATGGTCCAGCACCTCCCTCTGTGCCCTCCAACAATCCTGGTTACAGATGGGGACAGGAGGAGTGTTAATCTGATTAGTGAAGTAATGCTATTACTCCCTGGAGTGTGAAAAGGTGCTTCCTGGTGAAGTAAACAGGCTTGTGCTTCCCAGTTTATTAAGGTCAATGTCTAATTCCTTTTTGCTCCCCATTCCCATCAATAATTAACTAAATACCAATGGTAACATTAAATCAGTGAAATCAATAAATAATTAGAATTAAACTTTCATCCTTCCCAAAGAGCATCCTTTAGACTGAAACACATTCCTGGCATAGTTCTCAATCCTGTCCCAGCCCAACTCCTGCACAGCCCTTGTTGATGTGTTGAGAGACTTTAGGAAGGTATAAACCATGGATACTACCACTACCAAGATCAAAGTCTGGAAATTTTGCACAAACACATCAAAGAGCTTTTAAGTTAGTTGAGAAATAGACATAGGCTGATAATCTGGAAGTTTGAAAATGGAACTTTCTTTTTTACAGCTCCTTACAGAACTAAGTATTACAGCTAATACAGAGGAAACTAAAAAGGTGGGAAAAGAGACAAGTCAACTTAAAGAAGAGATTAAAAACAGTAAAGAAAATTGGCATCAACTACTGGAAAAGATTTGTATTGCAGCAAGTGTTGCATTACTTTCACATGCCCCTTCTCTGATTGCTTCAGCAGGGCAAATGAAACCATTACTGAATATACTTAAGAATATTGGTAAATGTATTTAAAAAGTTTCTTATGTGATAATAGCATAATACTGTAGATCATTTTTGAAATCTGCATATCATGTTAGTTTCATCCAAGACAAGTTTAAAAATAAAGAGTGTTTACCAAAGAATATCAGGGCCTAATATACCAAAAAACAAGATTTCCTGTCATGTTTTTTTCTACAACTTTTATTGTTTTGGGTTCAACATTTAAGTCTTAAACACATTTTGAATTTATTCTCATGCGTGGTGTAAGAAGGTGGTCTAATTTCATTTATCTGCATGTATCTGTCCAATTTTCCCAATACCATTTATGAATAAATTATCTTTAACCCATTACACGTACTTGTTCCTCAGTTGAATGTTAGGTGACCATTAAGGTGTGGGTTTATTTCTGGGCTCTCTATTTCGTTCCATTGATTCATGTCTGTTTTTATGCCAGTACCATGCTCTTTTGATTACTATGGCCTTATAGTATAGTTTGATATTAGGTAGTATGATTCCTGCAGCTTTATTATTCTTTCTCAGAATAATAAATTTCTGTTACTATGTGGGGCCTTTTGTGGTACCACATACATTTTTGAAATATTTGTTCTAGTTCTGTGAAATACAATATTGGAATCTTGATAGGAACTGCATGGAATCTATAGATTGCTTTGGGTAGTATAGACATCTTAAGGATGTTAATTCTTCCTATCCATGAACACAATATGTGCATCCACTTATTTGTACCTTCTTCAATTTCTTTTTTCAGTGTCTTATAATTTTCTGAGTACAGATCTTTTACTCAGGTATATTCCTAGGTATTTCATTTTTTGAAACAATTGAGAAAGGCTTTGTTTACCTAATTCCCCTTTCTGTTAGTTTACTACTGGCATATAAAATGCAACTGATTTCTGTATATTAATTTTGTGTCCTGCTACTTTGGTGAATTAATGTACCAGTTCTAGAAGCTTCTTGGTGGAATCTTTGGAGTTCTTTACATACAGTATCATGTATTCTACAAATCAAGACAGTTTTACTTCTTCCTTTCCAATTTGTATGTCTTTTATTTCTTCTTTTTGTCTGATTGCTGTGGCTAGGACCTGCTGTACTATGTTGAATGAGAGAGGTGAGAACAGACATCCCTGTCTTGTTCTCAATCTTGAGGGAAATGCTTGTTGTTTTTACCCATTGAGTATGACACTAGTAGTGGGTTTGTGATTTATGGCCTTTATTATGTTTA